TGCAGAAGACCCATACAGCGCTTTGCAGAGGTCATGAAGAATATAATTGCATGGGCCTGTATAGGCCTACAAGTAGAGGATAGGTCTTCTAGGTGAGAAAATTTCAAAGAAATTGTAATAAACCCAGCCATCGCTGATTGATAAACACATTCAGGACTTTAACTGCATTCAGGCTGCAGAGCTAACTCACTCTCCAAAGTACAGGAAGTGAATTTTTACTGCTATAGGGGCTGCTGTCCCATGCATACTGTATCTGAATTTGGTTCAGAACTGTCTTCTCATATTTTCCTTTTTGAAACAAAAATCAAAAACCCCAACTAACCAGAAGCTGGCTGGCCAATCCAATGCAATTGTGTGCATTAGAACGGAAGAAGGACAAGAACTGTCTTGCACGGCTTTAGGCTTGTTCTCACACTTCTCTGTTTCAGCTCTTTCTGGAAAAATTTATTTTCCATCCCAAGTCATGGTTCATGAGTTCTTGTGCAGTTCAGTGCCTGCTTTACATGATAATTTTTTTAGTGTTTGATTAGCTCTCCAGACATGTCTGTTTCTTTCTGTAAGGGCATCTCCCCTCTACCTTTCTGTTTCTAGCAAAGCTTAATTTTATTCACTCTAATACCTAGACTCAAGATACCCTGAAGCCATATGTCAGAATAAGGGATTCATATCTGTCAAAGATGTGTGGGCAGCAGCCACAATGAAATATATATAAACCTATCAGACAACATAAAGCAGAATGCTGAGCAAGCTGTGAGCAGTTTGTAAATCACTGTCCAAGAAGTTTTTCCTTGGAGGTGCCTGTCCGCAAATACCAGCAGCTGATGTATAAAGGCAACTTCCATTCATAAGGATCTTTTCAGCCTTTGTACTGATGTACCTGGACCATCAATGGAATAAATACCACAATTACAGCGAGCCCTGCAAGTGTCAGATACTAGAAGAGCTTTACAGCTAAGAGGACAGGGACACGCCTTCTCCCTTATAAAGCTTCTGAATGCTTTTGAAGACAATTCATAGGGACACCAGCATTTCACATGCCAGATCACGGCAGAAAGCTCAACCTATCTGCATGCCCCATCAATTACAATCTCCTGGCTCAAGTCTTTGTAGGAGCTGGCAGGAACGCCAGGTGCTTTCCCTAGGACTCTGCTTCTGCGGGCAAGGGAAGGCAAGACACCATGCGCTCCGCCAGGTCCACACACAGCCTGCAAGGAGTCAGGCTGGCCACCCTGTCACTCGGGCCCATGGCTGCCAACACTCCCTCGCAGGAGCCACCAGACAGCAACAGTACCTTACCATAACCTGCAAGAGGCCGCAGCTCCCCCTCTTCCTTCTCAGCCATTGCTATCACTTGCCTCTCCTCCTCTTGTCGCCTGTTTAATTTCTTGCATATTTGCACTCTTTTTTACTACACAGCAGCTGGAGAATGAACCTGGATGATAACAAGCATCTGTTTTTTTTCTAGCTCCTCACTAACCTATGTTACTCATTTTGGGAAGGTACATTTTTTTCTGACTTTGAAAAATGCTGTTCTTTCAGAGGGTCAAGCTACTTTTCATATTTGCAACCATTAAAAACATGCACATTTTGAAATGGCTACATAGTTCCAATGCAAATCAGAATTATTTAATTTTAAATATTTTTTACATTCTTTCAGCTAAAACCATCTCCTGAATTGAGCACAGATTTTCTGAACTTAGCACAGACTTGCAAGTAGTTTTGATCAATCTGAATTCATATCTTTAAGAACATTCTGCAACACAAATGTTTTCACCAAAATCTAGCAAAACCAGCAGATGACAGTTAAGATGATCTGTTAAGAATGGAAGCAGTTTTAAGTTGATGTTTGAAAGCCCTTTTTCCTTTGATTGTTAACAACCATTTAACAGCAATTAATGATGTTATACGCTTTTGAATAAAACAAGTTCTTGTTACAGGTTCCACACTTTTATCCTTCCAATTAAGAGCTGTATTAAGTGCTCACAATTAAGTATTTTCTATGCCTCAAACTGGCCCTTGGGAGCAAACAAACCTTTAACTTCATAATATTTCTGAGTTAAAGAAACTGAGAAAAAAACCCTGCATAAATACACCATAAATAAGGAGGAAAGCACTGATGACAATGTAAAAAATAGACTTTGTAGTCTACCTGCAGAAGCAAGAGTGACAGGATAGGGAAAAAAAACAGAGAAGGAGAGCCAGAAAAAGCACATTTTATTCAGCAGTGCACTAGTGATAGGAGGGAAGTGGAATGTGGCAACCCATGATTTTGGCAATACCATGTTCAAAAAAATGAAACATCTCATCCACAGATGTTTTCTCATGTGACGTAGGCCATACACCCAGTCCAGGACTTATTTCTCTAAAGTACAAGAAATGACAAGGGACAGGAGAGAGAAGAGGGGTTTAATACAAGAACACAAAACCAACATGAGTTCTGCTGTTCCTTGTGCAGAAAAGGGTGCTAATGGGAGAACAGCACAAAACCAGTGCAGGCCCTGCTGTTCCAGAGCAGAATGCTGCAGCACTGCAGCAATAGCGTGAGCTCTGAGGTTCTCTATTTTCCACCTATCCTCTCTGTAACCGTTATATATAAAATAAGTAAGCATTGCTGGCTTTAAGAGTAAAATCTATTTTGTAATATAATTACTTCAGGAAATGAAAGGCAGAAAAAGAAAGCGGATATTATTGAGTCATATGAAAGATACGTAGAGATACTGCAAAAGTTAACACATGAATGAATGCCTTGGTGTAACATTTCCTTGCTGTTGAGAGAGCTCTGCAGACACCAGCTCATTGCAGAGTTAGGGTCAGATCTGCAGTGCTCCCCAAGACAGCAGGGTTCCCCAGCCAGTCCTGCCCTACAGGTAAGAGGATGTGAACATTTCACTCTTTTATCCCCAGACTCTACTAACCGCGACTCTCTTGACATGATTGAACGGTGCATATGCCTGGTGTGCCTGGACAGCCCAAGCGGGGTGGAACTCAATGATACAAACATGGCATTGCAACTGCTACATGGGGGAGGCTACCATAAAAACGGGGCCAATCGCTGGTATGACAAGCCTATGCAGGTAAAAACCTTACACAACTATGATATTACTTGCACGTGGCAAGGGACTCCAGTTGCCTTCATGGTAGGGACCACTTAGAATCAAGTGGGAGAAAGAGGGGAAGGTGGTGTCAGCATCTGCCAAGGCAGGGCTGATGTGGGCAGCACTGTCCCTTGCAAGGCAAAGGAGCAGACCTACTGCCGTGCTGGGGA